GATCATTCATGTAAATATTTACTATGTAATTATATATTTACAGGTGTTGAAACTTAGGGGGGTGGAGGCTAAAAACTATGTGATACTCAGTGCTTGTCAATGATGAATGATGCATCATAGCACAAACGTCAACACGCTTCATTTTAAATATGACATAAAATATAAAAAAAAATGTTTTAAAAATTAGATACATATAAGAGAATATTAAATTAAAAGTTAAATTAAATAAATACAAACAAGTATTAAATTAAAAGATAAAACGATACGATTGTAAAAATAGCATAAATAATACTTAAATTCAAAATGGTCGATAACCCACTTACTTGAAATTCAAAATATTATGATTTTGTATAAGTTTCAGATTTCCATAAGCAGTTAAATTAGTCATTTAAAAAATTATTATCATCACCATAAGTCAAATAAATAAATCATATTTCTTTCATCATTATTATTATAATCTCATAAAGAATAATTTTCATTTTCACCTCATCAAGGGAACGAAACTCGCCATCATATGAATCTCACAAAATGAACAAATTTTTGCCTTGTATATATATATATGTACATAAGCATGTCCGTATGTATCTATGTATGTACCTACATGCGTAAGTGTTCGTGTATTGTGAAATTTACAAACATACCACAATTCTTATATATTTACATATTCAACAGCTAAATTTTAATATTTGCATATATAATATTTTATCATAATCGCATTAAAACATATTCATGAAAGAGATGCATTTACCAGAAAAAAAATAAATATTAATACTTTTGGTGTGCTATTTAAAGAAATATTAAATTTTAAATGTTAAACAAATATAAAAATTGAATTGCATATAAATACATTTTTTTTAAAATTTTTTAATATTAAATTTCAAAAATTAGCTTAGCAGGATCTATCAATGACAAGAAAATTATTTAATTAGTTATTCTTCTGATGAAATTTCTTGAAGTATTTAATTAAATTTAGTGCTCCTCCTGGGCAGTGTAACATTTAGTGGATTTCGGCTCTTCCACCATGGCAGTCATCCAACGCTTGGTAGGATTTTGGATGGTTAAGATTATATGGAAAAACAAATTATTTTTATACATAATTATTTAATTATATTAACAATTTTATATGTATCTTAAAACTACCCTTATTTCCTAACTTGCGAGCATTATTAGCGTAAACAGAGAGTTGCCTGGGAGGACAAGTCAGGGATCAAGAAGAGGGGATGGAGAAGAAGAAAGTTCGGCTGTAGTTAAAAATTTGGTTTTGATTTGAAATTGAGAAGTTTTTGAGTTCTTTCGGTTTTATAAATAATAAAGAATTGATTTCAAATTTCAGTAGTCGTGTACACCCAAAAATGGCTTGCATGGATTTAAAAGCAATTTAACGGATCGAATCAAAAGCTAAATGTTCAGCCGGAGAACTCATGGCCGATCGGGTGGCCTAAGATCGGCCGATAGAGGACCATCTTGCCCAACCCATAGCGAACAAACATGAATGACAGAATATGTGAAGGCCTGTGATTCTTCAATAAATTAGCTACCTGATCTCCCGGTCGGCCGACTATCCCTGGTAGGCCGTCAGCAAAAGACCAATTGGTCATCTTTAGCTAGCCATCTTGTCAAATAATCGGCCGGTCATCTTAGACCTACTACCAAGAATTAACCACCAGTAACGTCCACACCTGAACC